GTGTAGTATTCCCACCCAAACCCGATTCCAACGATATAAATCTCACAGGTAGATTCACACAGGTAAGGAATCCCTTTCCGATCAGTGGAAAAAAAAAAAAAAAAAGTTAGGGACAGTAGAGCTGGTAGTATAGTTTGCCGGGTGTGAGCAGCATCCCCACCCAAACCCGATTCCAACGATATCAATGTCACTCGATCAGACTTCAGAACAGTTCCGTCATCACCCATATAAAGGCAACACACAGTCATTGTAACTGTATTTTGATAAACTTTCAACCTACGTTCAGCAATAACAACCGTGAATTCTATTTGGGCGAAGACGGTAGCACCATACCTTTGCAGAGCACAGTCACTGCAACTGTATTTTGGGCAACTATCAGCCCAGGTACAATGACAACGACCGTGCATCCATTTCGGTGAAATTGGTGGTGGCGTACCAGTGTGTGGGCCAACCATGCTGGGAAGGGAAAGGCATAAGGTATAAGGCTATAAGGGAAAGGCACAAGGCTATAAGGTTATAAGGGAAAGGCATAAGGTAATAACCTGGGTGCAGCACCACCGTCTTCACCCAAACAGAACGTCCACGTTTGCAACGTTCAAGCGAAGCCCACAAGCTGAGAGCATTTTTTCAATTTTGAGAAAAATCTGTTTTTTTCGGACTTTTGAATGATAACAGGTTTCCGAGTGAAGAAAGTTCGGTAGTGGTCACTCGTGCAAATTGGAACTTTGGACAGACTCCGGCTGTAATTGCGGTCAGGTACATTGCAAAAATTCCTAGTGTGAAGTAAAATATGTGGTCAGATACATCCCAGAAATTGCCCTAAGCCCACGCAGATCACTCACTTCGTCAGAAAAAAAGACTCAGAAGACTCTAGTAGAAAAAAAAGAAGAAAAAAAAGGAAAACGTATGCACTTTTGAAGAAATAAGGAGGAGGAAGACAAAAAGAAAAGTAACCCATACCTTTCTCGGCCTTTTGGCTAAGATCCAAGTTTAGTATTATTAAAAAAAAATAAAAAAAAGTAACGCCCCCGTTACAGATAACGACGGGGTCGATTTCAATGTTCAATCTTAAATCAAGTTAAATGTTTTCAACGTGAAGGTCCTGACATTCTTGAAGAGAGTTCAGTAAAACATGTTCGATGCATCTGGCGCCTTGGCCGGCCACGCTTGTGGCTCAAATTTACCGGCTTGTAATTGCAAGATTGAAACGTACCCCAAACCAAACAAACATTGTTGAACTAATTGAAAAATGTGTCATAAAAGAATAGTTTTTATGTTCATAGATCGTAATCTCATTCTTCTTATCTCATTATTTAAATAATCAATAGTCAATAAGATAAGGGTTTTTTTTTTTTTTTTTTTTGGAAGAAAAGTTATATTATCAAAATTACTGGGAAGCGGGGCCGGCGTCCCTTACAGATTTTCACAGCCCTAGGCCAAGAAAGTTGAGAAAAGGTGAACAAGGTTTTGCTCGTTGTATCGAAATGAACCACATCGGAGCCACATCCTCTGATCGTCTCTGATTTCCCCGTGAGCCTGCGCTTGAGCCTACTTCCACACGCCCCCGTTACTCTTTAGGAAGAACTGCGTAGTGCCACCAGACGAAACCTGATGGAGTGGATGATAATCATGGGCAACGAGGAAGTCCGGTGCTCAGTACACACGTGTAAAGTTGTGGCGTGCTACGGTGTGGGAACTCACAAAGGAGACCATAACGGTAATGATGGAAGGCGGCGGTAATGATGGACGGCGGTACATGGGGAGTGATGGGTGGAGGGTTGACTGGGGCTGGGTACCATGCTGAGTATAACTTTCTTGTATGGTGTATTTTACTATTTTTAGTAATTTTTGTAACTTTTTACTATTTTTAGTACTTTTGTTTTTCTATTTTTAGTATTTTGTTACTATTTTTAGTTTTTTTTTACTGTTGAAATATACTTGCTGGGGATAAGTATCCAGACTGGCGTCCCCCAGAATAGAAGGGGCTGTGTGTGTGTATGTGTGTGTGTGTGTGGGTGGGTGGGTGGGTGTGTGCGTGCGTGTTTTCGTTCATGTGTGTGTGTGTGTGTGTGTGTGTGTGTGTGTGTGTGTGTGTGTGTTTAAGAAAAAAGGAAGGAGGAAAAAAAAAGTAATTCCGCCATGATGGATAACGATGGGTTTGGTTTGAAGGTTATAGACCCTTGCTTTACAGCACAATACTTGAAATGTACCAGGATCTCGTTGTTGTCCTGGTGCATTCAAACCGTTTGGTCAGTCAAAATGTATGTGGAGCATAGCACAATGGAACCGTTGGTTCGGTTTGAATATACTGGGATCGCAAGGCAGTCCAGATACATCTAAGACTGTTGTGCAGTGCAGCAAGGCCCTATGGCACAATTCAATATGGGCCTCGCTCCATTACTCAACGTTCTACATGTATCTGGGCTGTTCTCTGCACTGAGTACACTCGGACTGATCTGACAACGAAATGTACCTGAACCATTTTCAAGGACCCGATTCGGTTGTGCAGCGGAGTGAGGCCCTATCTTTTTCTTTTTTTTTTTCGTCAAGAAGGGCGACATCCTTGACATATCATCGTGAACCGTCCGGCCCTACAACAATTCAGGAATTTTATTCATGTGGATTCCGAGCACATGTCTTTTTT